TATATGGTATAGTTAGAAAAAAATTCCTATAAATTATGACGTAGGCTCGACCATTTGGGCCGACCTTAAGCTAGCACCCCTCCAAAGTGCAATGGAGGTCACAAGCCTAGGTCAGCATTTGTTCATTCTCTATTTGTATTGGCCGCTGTGGGATTAATCTACTAATGAAGAAAGAGAAAACACTCTCGTTTACATTTACAAGATCTTTTTCTAAGTATGTCTTCTCAACCCTTAAATGTGTTCCTTTTTTATGAAATACATAATATTACAACGTAAAGAAAAATAACATCATAATGTATCATTGTATTCTCTATAAAATTTGAGACACAATTGTGCTTTTATCTTTGTAGTAACGGGACTCCAGAAAGTAATACAAAAAGAAACCATAACTTTAAAACATAGCCCTTTTGTGCTTTAGGTTGTTTTCATAAATAGACAGTTTCTCATTTGGCTAGAAAAATGCACAATGCACCAATAAAATTCTGAAGTTCAAACTTTCAAGTAGAGAATATTCAGAGAAGTACTAATCAGAAATGCGGATCGTAGAATTATAATGTGAATGTATATTTCATATGATCATGATAGGGTACAGGAGAGTAAGTAATAAAGTAAATACACATAGATAATGAAATTTTAGCAATTTTGCGCTCACAGAGAGATAAAACTTAACACACGCCATTATATGGCAATCCTCTGAGCTAAGCTTTTGGGATTGAGGCAAGACGAATGTCCATTGAACGACAAAATTTGAGCTATCAAAGGATGTCAATTCTTTTCCGTGGCGAGCTACACGACAAATCCTAAAACAAGAATCTTTCTTAGTATTCATTTACACGAATAGAGCACATTAAGTGAGTCAGTAACATTTTGTTTTCTATCGTATAATCTAAGTGCTAAAATATATACTAATAAAGCAAATATAAACCAAGGTTAGTGCAGAAATTTAGATTCAATTTGGTGGGGTGCACCAGGCAGTTGCAATAGTGCAACACATGGACGACACTTGAGAGCCCATGTAGCAAGCTACCTTGATGAACTCTTCCCCTAAAACAATAGAGTTAATATCATGTGAATCGATAACTTATTAAACTGATAAGAACAAATACTACACTTGATCTTAACCAAAAGGCCGAGAAAGGTATGCTTTATCTACTGCTCGGACTTCCGGTTTTATATGAGTTCTCTCCTTTCTCGGTTTTGTTAGCTTTCGATGTGGTATTTTTGTAGGCTGGAGAATTTTATGTTTCATACATACGCCTTCTCCTTGCCTGCAAGGGAAAGGAAAAAAGTTATGATCTGAAATTTTGTTCTACCATGGTAAATATTTACTCCCCATATTTATGCCAAGTCAAGTAATTTAACCATAACGTTTAAAAAATAAAGTGAGTTTGATTGTCCATCTTTTTTATATATATCAGGCATTGCATTCTCCGGATAATTCAAATCGAAGCAATTGGATGTTCAACTAGGGCCTATATGACATGACCGATCAATAGATCCACCTTTGTCATATATTCCATATATCACACTAGATAGATATTATATTCATGGAATACGATTCACTTTCAAGATGCCTTGTGGTGAAATGGTAGACACGAGACTCAAAATCTCGTGCTAAATAGCGTGGAGGTTCGAGACTCAATGAGCATTCTCAATAAGAGAGCTCGGATCGAATCGGTATATCAATACTGATTCAATCCGAGTTCTTGGAATTGGAATAAATTCAGCAGCGGATCGCGAAATTTTGGTGATATTCTCTATCTAATGAATGGGGAGTCTACTTTCTCTATTAGCACATTGTTATATAACTACAATTAACTATAAAAGCCAATATTTTTTATGGAATCAATTATGTTTATGTTATAATAGTAGTATATGTTATTTGTAATAGTAGCCCGCTATAATAACCAAAAACATCTCGAACTAATGAGTGTGCTATAGAAAGGTTTTACTGTATGTGATAAATGGTGTATGAATGACCGCGGATACTGATAAGTTACGTTCTACCGGTTGGCTAAATTTGAACCTCGTCAATTTTCTAAACCTTAATAAATACTAGCAAACATGAAGGAATGGAGATATACCAGAGATAGGGGTGTAAAAAGGAAACCGACAAACCGTACCAACCCGATAATCCGAGTCAAACCGAGAGAAAAAAAAACCGACTATGGTTTGGTTTGATTTGGTTTGGTGTTGGAAAAAAAATCCGACCATAATTGGTTTGGTTTGGTTTTAACTAAAGAAAGTCAAACCGAAACCAAACCAACCCGAAATTACATATATAGAAATTTTTTATATATTTAATATATAAATATACTTATTGTGATGTAATTTATAAATATTTCTTTAAAAAATTCATAATTTTATCTTTTAAGGTATTATTTCAAGATTGGACTTAGAACTTTTGAATGTTCCAATAAGTTTTATAGTCATTAATATTAGGACATTAAATAATGCTAGCAAAGGTCGAAACCAAAATCAAATCAATACTAATGTTAACAAAAGACATCCAGTTCAATACTACGAATTAAATGTATTGAATATCTATTTTTTGTTTTGCAATAATTTAAATAAAAATGCATAACCTATTTTTATTTTTTCTTTAGCGTTTAGTCCTGTAATTAATACTCCTTTATTAGTACTTATTTCAGCATGAATACATTTAAATTATGTTTATTTTTATTATGGCTTTTTAATTAGCAATATTTATATTACATAATTTATCGTCTTTATTGTTGAATATTTTAGGATAATACCATGGACACATCTCATATTTTACTAGGAAAATACTTTATATAGTTGTATCTTACTAGGATTAAAGAAATATTTTGAGCACAAGTTATATGTTTTGTTCTACAAAGATTTTACTGAAAAAAAACCCGAGAAAAAACGAAAAACCCAAAAATCCAAGAAAACCCGAGAAAAATCGAGATTGAAAAATCCGAATTTTTATTGGTTTGGTTTGGTATTTAGATTTAATAACCCGACACAATTGATTTTGTTTGATAATTATAAGACCCCAACTAACCCGGCCTATGTACACCCCTAACCAGAGATAATTACCCAAAACCTAACATTTTTTTTCTTTAGCTTTGTTTACATTAGATAAGATATTTCATCCTCTCTTTTTTTTGGTTTTTCCCATTCGGTGTTCGGTATCTGCATTGGAGTCCCAACTATATCTGGATTCGCGTAGCGTAGGGCCCCATTCGAGAGGAACCGTTCCCTATCAAGAATTTTTCCATACCAAGGGCTCAAACCCGAGATCTTTGATTAAGGAAGGAGCAGTCTCATCAACTGCACCACATCCTTTGGTAAAATCTAATATTTGCAATAACATACACATGGTTTAACAATACAAGTATCACCAAAATAATGTTTACATGTACTGAAGTAATAACATAAATGAGCCACTTTTAAACCATAGAGAGTGGTACAACTAACAAGAATTATTGTGGGACTAAATTTTTGACATGCTATAATAGATCAATTCACAACTAATTATCTGTTTCACCTTACAAATTGCAACCCATAATACCCAATTATCTGTTCACCTTACGAAAGTAGCTTTAGTTGGAGCATAGTAAAATCCATATCTCAAATAAAAATGGCTAGCTAGTGATAAAATAATTAAAGCCAAGAAACATCATAAATAGCTTCAATTTATGACCCATTTTTCTATTAAACAATTTACCTGATAAATTACATGCATCATTTTCTACCGCGCCCAATCAAATAATTTCACATAAAATATAACAAAGAAAGAGAGTATAATTTTTCATATCAACTTTTTACATAAAAGGCACAATTTTCCAGACAAGAAGGACTGGAGTAGCACAATTTTCACTTGGGCCGCTGTCAAGTTGAAATAGGGCAGGAGGCCCAAACGTTTGGACTTAGGATCGGATAGGGGCCGCGCGAACGCAGGCCCCTACTACCACAAATTATGACGTAGGCTCGGCCACTTGGGCCGACCTTAGGCTAGCACCCCTCCAAAGTGCAGTGGAGGTCACTAGCCTAGGCCATGGGTCTTGTTGATCGCCCATTGACCCCGTCCAGGTAAGTATGTTTTTCTGTCAGCCCAGCCCAACTTTTATTCACCAGCATTTGCTCATTCTAAGTTTGTATTTGCCGATGTGGGATTAACTACTCTCACCTTTTTTAAAAAAAAAAAAAATTAATGTCAAGATGTATTTTTGCTTTGAAAAAATTATGGACAAGTTCTTTTCTAAATATGTCTTCTCAACCCTTAAATGTTCTCCTTTCTTATGAAATATAATATTACAACGTGAAGGAAAATAAAAATTTTACAATCAGTGCTTATATTTTCCAGAAAGAAATTGTTTTGTAATAACTGGACTCCAAGAGGTAATACAAAAAGAAACAAAAATATTAAAATGTTACCAGTTTGTGCTTTAGGGTGTTAATATATAAGTAGACATAGTTTTCATTTGAGAGGATATAGAATTCCCTCCATACAATATTTTGAGGTTAAATTGTAACTTGCTCAAATACAAATTTGAGTTAAATTCCATAATACAATTTGAAAAAATACTATTGATCATCTATGTGCAATATGTGATATTTAAAGCCAATTTTTTTTAAGGATGGTAACTCGCGTGCAACTTGATTATTTCACCGACAAATCCACTTAGTGTCTACTACCTCGCACTTCACAAATTGTTGATGCTTGCATCAGGGTAGGCTACCTACATCACATGAGATACAGCCCTTCCCCGGATCCTGCGGGAAAGATGCATTGTACACCTTACAAAACCCAGCGCAGAGTCAATTGGGAGGAATCCATAACTCAAATAAATAGACCAGCTAATGATAGAATAATCGAGCCAAAAAGCATTATGAATAGCTTTAATTTGCAAGAAGAATTCATAACAAGTGGAAGATATAGGGTGTGAAGAAATCACATAAAAAAAGAAGTATAGTTTGATCCGAAATATGGAAGTGTTATTATTCAGAGAAAAGTCCTATACTTTTAAGCATCAGCGACATTCCTCCGGAGGCATCTGTTGCACCACCCGCATAGCCTCATCAACTAACTTACCACGACCTAAAATATCGACAAGGCAACAATAATGTTCAGCCCTCGGTTTTAAACCATAGGCATACCTCATAGACTCGAAAAACTTTTGACCTTTCTTAACAAGACCGGCATGACTACAAGCTGACAAAAGTCCCACAAAAGTGATCTTGTCTGGCTTGTTACCGAACCTTAGCATTTGCGCGAAGGCTTGTAATGCTTGGTTTCCAAGACCATGATTAGCATATGCCAGTATTATTGCAGTCCATGAAACAACATCCTTTACTATGAGATTCTCAAAAGTGATTAATGAGGAGTTGATATCTCCACATCTAGAGTACATGGTGACGAGAGCATTATTAAGTGAAGTGTCTTGGTCAAATCCTAACAGTAAAACAAGAACATGAGCTTGCAATAACTCCAGGATCCCCCCACATGAGGTCACTACACTGGTGAGAGTAGTCTGATTCGGCCTTAAGCCTGATCGGAGCATGCTAATGAAACACTTCAAGGCTTCACCCTCAAGGCCACTTTTTGCATACCCGCCAATCATTACATTCCAACTTACAGTCTCTTTATTAGGCATCGAATCAAAAAGTTCATCGGCCTTAGCCGCTAGGCCTTCATCAACGTAGGTTGTTATCATAGCATTCCACGCAGCAGGATCCCTGTTTGGCATTTGATCAAAGTACTCTCTTGCCATTTCTAACAACCCATTTCGTGCAAGACCAGTAACGATAGTTGTCCAGGAAACTGCATTTTTCCATGGCATCGGATTAAATAGTTCCAAAGCTTTGTCCACTCTCTTGTCATTTAAACAACCTTGAATCATAACATTCCAAGAATATAAATTACGTTCAGGCATCTTATAGAAGAGCTCAAGAGCTTGATCCACCTGACTATCTTTAACATAAGCCCTGATCATCGCCGTCCAAACAATAACATTTTTCTCAGGAATCTGATCAAAAATATGTTGTGCCTCATTAATCAAACCATTTTGAGCATAGCCCACCATTGCTGCAGTCCAAGTAACCACATTTTTCTCTGGCATTTCTTGAAGCAGCTTTCGAGCTTCATCCACTCTACGGTTCTGAAAATACCCGGAAATCAAACTGGTCTACGCATAAACATTTCTATCCGGCATTCGTTCGAAGATTCTCCGAGCCTCATCGAATCTTCCAACTTTAGCATAAGCATGAACCATAGCAGAATCAGACACTACATTTCTCTCAGACATTGAATAAAACAACGTCTCAGCATTAGGAAGATCCTTATGTTTTAAATAAACAGTAATCATTGAAGCATAAGAAACAACATCTCTTTGAGGCATTTCGTCAAACAATTGCCGAGCTTCTTTAACTTTGCCTTGACGGCCTAAATTCATAATCATTTTATTGGAGCTAAAAATGGACTGTTCTAAGTGGGGTTTTGACTGTATTTGAATAGGTGTTTTTGTTTGTGAATATGGTCTTGAAAGGAATGGACTCCTCAAAATGCGGTCATTAACATTACTCAGCAAATAATGTGAACTCCAAACTATAAATGAGTGGCTTAATTTAATCAAACTTCTGGTTTTATACATGATTGTTTGTTAATAATCTCAGATGGGAAGAGGGATTAGCTATGGGATTATTGTTGTATCAGAATACTACTACTAGTAGTAGATACACAGATTAAAGGTGTAATAGGAGCAGAAATCAGAGACATATTTTCTTGTAAGAGGTTGAGACTTGAGAGCAATGACAAAAGATAGTTATGTCCTAAGTTATGGAGAAATTATTTTGCAGCTAATACCTCCGGTCCAAAATAAGCGACTTTTTGACCCTTTTTTTGTGGTCCAAAATAAGTGATTTTTCCATATTTCAAGAATGAATTAATTATTTTTTTTCCTACATTACCCTTGGAGTAAATACTGTTGGAGTGTGTGTTAGGAGTATTTATTTGAAGAGATAGTAAAGGTTAATATGGTTAATTTCATTACTAATTAATATTTAAAGGTGAATTTCTTAATCTGTGTAAAAATAACTAAAAAATCACTTATTTTAGACTCTAAGAGAGTAGCATAAAGTTTTGGAAGAAGGCAATAACTTTTGAGAAAAGGTTTTACGCCAAAAGAAAATAATTAAAGAAACATTTGGAAAAGACTTTAACGAAACAAAAGTCATCTAGAAATTTCCAAAATTCTCTAAGCCCAAACGGCTTATTGGACGAACCTCCTCTCGCTCACTTTTTCTAACATTTTTAGTACCAACTAATTCATTCGGGTGAAACATCTTACGATGTCATGATGCGCCTATTCCTATCGACATTCCGTCAATACTTCTGGCTATAGTTAAACAAATAGACAAATTCAAATGCTCAATTATAGGGGTGTACATAGACCGGGTTGGTTCGGTTTTTATCAAAACAAAACCAAACCAACTATATCGGTGTAGATTGTTCGGTTTTGTTGGGTTTTTCGGGTTTTTTTTGTTATATGAATATTATTTAATCTTACTTTGTTAAAATTATAGATAAAGCTTTGATAAGTGAATATATGTTTAATAAATATGGAAAACAAATTGACAAACGTATGATTTATTAAAATATTCTAATGGGAGAATTTTTTTAATAATACATGATAGTTATTTTCTTAGTCGTCTAACAATAATTTTTCGTTAATTTACGTTTTCAAGGTTAATACATGAGAGAATCCCAAATATTTCTACATTTTCTAAAGAAAATTCACTATAAAGTCTTAAAAATATAAATAAAATTTATATATTTATATGTCGGTTTGGTTCGGATTTTTTGACACAATACCAAACCAAGTCAAACCAAACATAGTCGGGTTTTTAAATCGGTTTGATTTGGTTTTTCAATTTGGTGCGATTTTCCGGTTCGGTTTTAACACCTCTCCTCAATTGTATAAAAACATACCATGAACGACTTTTGCTAAAAAAAAATGACAATCTAAAATTTTTAGGAAAACTTTCATTCAAAAAGGGCATAATTTTAAATAAATTTTTATTTATCACATTGTATTGGATGTAATTGCAAGATCCAAAACTCTAAATTACAAAGGACATACATTTATACAATAACGCTCCACTGAGATTTCAGTGGTGACTAGAGGAAAATAGTGTTCGCTTGGGCCAACCTCAAAGCTAAAACTAGGCCACAGGCCCAAAAGTTTGGACTGAGAATTGGATAGGGGCCGCGCAAACGCAGGCCCTCGCAACCACAAATTATGACGTAGGCTCGATCACTTGGGTCGACCTTAGGCTAGCATCCCTCCAGAGTGCAATGGAGGTCACAAGCCTAGGCCATGGGTCTTTTTGATCGCCCATTGACCCCGTCCAGGTAAGTATGTTATCTTGTCAGACCAGCTCATATTTTATTCTACAGCATTTGTTCATTCTCTATTTGTATTGGCCGATGTGGGATTAATCAACTAAAACACTCTCTTTCACATTTAAAAGATCTTTTTCTAAGTATGTCTTCTCAACCCTTAAATCTGTTCCTTTTTTATGAAATATAATATTACAACGTGAAGAAAAATAACATCATAATGTTTATTGTATTCTCTATAAAATTACAATGTAGTGCTTATATCCTGTAGTAGCTGGACTCCAAAAGGTAATACAAAAAGAAACCATAAGGCTAGAAAAGTGCACAATGGCACCACTGAAGTTCAAACTTTCAAGTAAAGAAATACTAATCAGAAATGCGGATCGTAGAACTATAATGTGAAAATATATTTCATACGATCATGATAGGGTACAGGAGAGTAAGTAATAAAGTAAATACTCATATAGATAACAAAATATGAGCAATTTTGAACTTAATTTGAGCTAGCTTGTGAGGTGCAAGACGAAGGTCATCGGACGACAAAATGGCGAGCAACACTACTATAAAAACGTCCATATCCCCAAGCAAGAATCTTTCTTAGTTTTCATTTACATGCATAGAGCATATTAATTGAGTCAGTAACATTTTTGTATACTATCGTATAATTTAAGTGCTAAAATATATACTAATAAAGCAATATAAATCTAGGCCACTGCAAAATTTTAGATTAGATTTGGTGGGGTGCGCCAGGCCCTTGGAGTAGTGCAACACATGGGCGACGCTTGAGAGCCCAAGTAGCAAGCTACCTTAATGAACTCTCCCCTTTAAAAATAGAGTTAATATCGTGTGAGTCATGACTCACATATCAGATATTAAACTGATAAGAACAGATACTACACTTGATCTTAGCCAAAAGACCGAGAAAGGTATGCTTTATTCTGTTCACGGCCTTCGGCTTTTATATTATTTCTCTCCTTTATCGGTTTTGTTAGCTTTCGATGTGGTATTTCTGTAGGCTGGAGAATTTTATGTTTTCATATATGCGCCTTCTCCTTGCCTGCAAGGGAAAGGAAAAAAGTTATGATCTGAAATTCTGTTCTACCATGGTAAATTTTTTACTCCCCATATTTATGCCAAGCCAAGTAATTTAACCATAGCGGTTTAAAAATAAAGAGAGAATACATATACGGTCAGACATCTCTATTACCGTATTGTTATATAACTACTATTAACTATAAAAGTCAAATTTTTTATGGAATCAATTATGTTTATGTTATGGCTCCTTTTTATCTCACAAATTTGTGGACCCCAATCTTATACTTTTGGGTCCACAAAACTGTGAGATAAAAAAGATATTTCATACAACTAGTGTCAGTTATATGAGACACAAAATAAAATTTTCCGCTATATATGTTATCTGTAACGGTACTTAGCTATAATAATCAAAAACATTCGTAACTAATAAGTGTGTTATAGAGAAGTTTTACTGTATGTGATAAATGGTGTATGAAGGACCGCGGATGCTGGTAAGTTACGTTCTACCAATTGGCCGAAAATTGAACCTTGTCAATTTTCTAAACCTTAATAAATACTAGCAAACATAAACAAATGGAGATATACCAGAGGTAATTACCCAAAAACCTAACAATTTTTTTTTGCTTTAGCTTTGTTTACATTAGATAAGATATTTCATCCTCTCTTCTTTTTTTTTCCCGTCCGATGTTCGGTATCTGCGTTGGAGCCCCAATTATATTTGAATTCCCGCCGCGTAGGGCCCCATTTGGGGGAACCGCTCCCTACCAAGAATTTTTCCATACTCAGGACTCGATCCCGAGATCTCTAGTTAAGGAAAGAGTAGTCTCATCCACTGCACCATATCATTTGGTAAAACCTAACACTTGCAATAACATACACATGGTTTTTAACAATACAAGTATCACCAAAATAACGTTTACATGTATTGAATTAATAACATAAATGAGCTATTACAACTAACAAGAACTATTGTCGGACTAAATTTGACATGCTATAATAAGGGTTTAGATCAATTCACAACTAATTATCTGTTTCAGCTTTACGAAAGTAGCTTTAGTTGGAGCATAGATCCATATCTCAAATAAAAAAAGGCTTGCTAGTGATAAAATAATTAAAGCCAAGAAACATCATAAATAGCTTTGGCGCAAGATCTCATAGTAAATGGAAGCTGCAACAGCAAAGCTATGATTCATTTAAGGGGTATCAAAATTTAACTAAATAAATACATAAGTCAGTTAAGATAGGTCAATACATAGTAGTATATATACATAAAAATTATTTTTAACTGTATAAACAGTACTCCCTCCGTTTCAATTTTGTTTTATCTTATATAAAAGTACTCTTTCAATTTATTTCCTTTTTAGTGTGACCCATTTGTCTATTAAACAATTTACCTGATAAATCACATAAAATATATATGCATCATTTTTCACTACGCCCAATCAAATAAATTCACATAAAATATAACGAAGAGAGTATAATTTTTCATATCAACCTTTTACATAAAAGACAATTTTCAAGACTAGAAGGACTGGAGGAAGACATTTTTCACTTGGGCCGCTGTCAAGTTGAAACAGGGCAGGAGGCCCAAACGTTTGGACTTAGGATCGGATAGGGGCCGCGCGAACACAGGCCCCACTACCACAAATTATGACGTAGGCTCGACCACTTGGGTCGACCTTAGGCTAGCACCCCTCCAAAGTGCAATGGAGGTCACTAGCCTAGGCCATGGGTCTTATTGATCGCCCATTGACCCCGTCCAGGTAAGTATGTTTTTCTGTCTGCCCAGCCCAACTTTTATTCAACAGCATTTGCTCATTCTAAGTTTGTATTTGCCGATGTGGGATTAACTACTCTCACCTTTTTTAAAAAAAAAAAAATTTAATGTCAAGATGTATTTTTGCTTTGAAAAAATTATGGACAAGTTCTTTTCTAAATATGTCTTCTCAACCCTTAAATGTGCTCCTTTCTTATGAAATATAATATTACAACGTGACGGAAAATAAAAATTTTACAATC